GAAGATGGCTACAAAAACCTAATAGTATCTATAAAGCCATTGTAAACAAAGCAAAACGCTCCATCTCATTTAGTAGAGCAGCTTCAGAAATAAGTTTAAAAAAAAAAGAAGGAAGGAAAGAAAAAAAGATGGATAGAAAATGAGAAGCTGAGCAGTAAGTATAAGTCAGAAACAAAGGATTGTACAGAACTGGAAGGAAAAGTAAAACAGGATTTAGACAAACTTGGCTATTAAACTGAATTGAACGGTAAATAAAAGACGTGTATTTGAAAAGGACAAAATTTGAGAAATAAAGTCAACTTGCTAGGAAATCAACTGGTATATGAAGCACAGAGATTTGTAATGTCACATCTTCTCCTCACTCATTGAATTAGACATGCTACAACTATGTATAATGTGTACCCTAAGGCCACAGGACAGAAAAAAGCATGGAGTTTGCTACTTAGTGAAAAATCAACCCAAAGAGGATATGAAAGATGAGCAAGGAACTCAAGGAAAGGTACACCGAGAAGGCCAAGAGATGAAAGAGAATTACTAAAGTGAGAATTACTAAAAGACACGCTGAGTCTGCCTGCATTTCAGTATCATCTGTAAAATCTAAGAGTTCTACAGGCACAACAGTAGAGAGAGAACATAGCAGGAAGGAATAATATACAGTAAAGACAGAATGTAATTAAAGATAACTTCTAGCTTGAAAACTAAATGAATACTTCAGCTACAAGCAATCAGGTTATCTATATCTGAGTGCTGAAGGACATGGAATATAAAATCACAAGTCCAATAAAAAACATATTTGTAGCAAATCTCTTAAGTCAGAGTAATACCTTATGATGGAAGAAAAACAAATGAGAATACTTATACTTAAGTAGGAGGAAAAAAAGTGTGTCTTCCATTGATGGTGGACAACTGATTTTATGGACAACTTATTCTTCTGTAAATCATTTTCCATTGGAAGGTATTAGGCAGCAATTCTTAATATTTTTAAGAATGAAAACAAATTTTAAGGATAGAGTAAATGAGTAAAAGGAAGCCTTGCTCTTCTATGGATAGAAAAATTAAAGCTATGTCATAGTGCATTCTTGGTGGATACAAACTACTGCTGCCAGAGGTTCAAGATGACTTGTGATTCTGTGAGCTGTACCCCTTAGCTAGTAAATCCTGTTAAGATGTCCGTTAACCCACAGTAGTGCCTCACATTTCCATAAATTTCAGTTAACTTGGATTTCATATGTATGAAGCTTCTCCTGCACAGAGCATCATTCTAATCCACCCAGAACACTTTGGCACACATGAAACAGTATATTTTTAAATATTTAGGAATATAAAAAAAATAAATCAAGAATGGAATGCGTTCATAACTAAATAACATAGGAAAACTGTCAATGCAGAAAGAAAAAGTATGTAACATTTGTATTGTGTTTTTGTTCTGGGAGAAAAAAATAAGATGCTGTATCAATCTCATCTGAAGGAATACTTCAATCTCACCTGAAGGAATACTTTTGACTCTAACAAAGCTACTGGTGAATGTTAAAAACTGCTTACTAAACCTACACTGTTTAAAATGAGATGGTACAAAGATTTTGTGCCTAAGAATTTTGAAAAAGCAAGCAAAGGAATTTAGCAGACCACTGATAATTATTTTCCTTGTCATTATTCGTTTTTCATTAGGTCTTGAAATACCAAGGAAACTTCATAAGACTGAAAGAAAACATGTTCTTTGCCAGTGCTATTAAAGGGTAATGAGACAGCCTGGATAATTAAAAGCCTATAAGCCTAGCATCAATCGTAGCAAAATAATGGAATAATTCCTACAAGGCTCAATTAATGAAGGATTAAAGAAGGGGTATAGAATTAATGCCAGTCAATATGACTTTTTTTTGGAAAACAGAACTTGCCAAGCTAGCATGATATCTTTGAAGAGATCACAGGAACCAGGTGCTGTTACGTGCTGCCTACTTCCACAGAAGAGTCTGGATGGCAATGAAGTTCCCTGAAAATTGAACTTGTCTTACAAGTGAGATTATACATCAGCATGACATGAAACACCTGCCCGCCAGTTTTACTGGGCATGTAGTGTTTAATTGTGGTTTGTTTTTTCCAAGAACTATTTCTCTTTCTTTCATTCATGGTGTGCAAATGACAAGCTACTATTAAACATAATTATTCAAACTTAATAGCAAAGGAAAGCTGTTTGAAGAAATGTTCCTAAATCTCATTTGTAGAAAAGAACTCTTGCTTTGGTCCTGGTCTGAAAAGAGCTGAGTTTGAAATTCATTTCCTACACATTAAGACGATCTACTTACTAAATCATTATCATAAGGAGTTCTGCTGCTTTGCAAAGTCCAAGATGCAAATTCTTGCAACTTCCACATGTTTATGATGTTTCTCAGCTGATGTTCTTTCAGCAGTCCCAGCAGACCTAATTTAATTTCTAATCATTTCACCATGCTTAACACGTTTTTTCTAAATTACTTTTGCATTTGTACTCGGAGGGAGTACAGACTGATTTTTGCTTGTAAAGCTCTCCTCTTTCATTTCCATTGTTTCCTATGCAAAAGGAATGAAACTGACTACACTGAGCAATTCAGTGATCAGCTGCTTTCAGTCTATACCGTACTTCAATAATAATATGGTGCATAGTGTGCATTTCACATATTTCACACTTATAGCCACAGCCTCTATCGCATCACACACAGTACCTCATTTATGCCCTAATTGGAGGCCAGAACACTAAATTTTTTCCAGACAGCCCAGCAAAATACAGGAATGCACTCAAAGGTATAGAAAATGTGCCCATTCAAGTTTGTTTAATTATATTTTCTTCTTTTTTGGAGAAGAAGAATATTGTATTTAAGGACTTTAACTAGTGTTAACATTAAACAAGAAACAAATACAAGAACAATCAGAAAGACAATAGTATGCAGTAAGTATAAATTTGAGTTTTGCCAGACACATGGCATAAGTTTTCGTAATTTCATGTCAGAAAATTTGTAAGATGTTTCTGTTGATATTCTTTCAGCACTTCCAGATTTGGTAATCCTTTTGCTATTCTCACAACATTTTTCTTCTGAATTTGCATTTTACTTTGTCTGATCAAAGCAATATTTGCTTGCAAACAACCTTGTCACATATTAAAACAATCATGATATATTGAATTTACTTCCTATACTGTTTCTTGAGAAGAGCTTAAAGGATTTGTGACAAACAGGTTTGATTACCTTCTTTTTTCAAAACCACTGTATATGACTAAAGGTGATGCAAAACTTCTTTCATATTTCAGAACTTCACTTAATGCCCCTTCCCAGATATTTTTTTCATATTTGGACACAGATGCACAACTCAAATTTAATTCAGAGCTGCTATGAATCAAGAAACATGTTTATGATAACTTATATAGATGTCTTTCTGAAGTCTTTCAGTTAAGTGGCCACAAGATGTTATTGAAGGATCTTCAGAACAGTTGTGTGGCTCTTCCATAACTCATGTCCCACACAGACTGAATTTATTCATTTTCCATAGTGTTTCCAAAAAACTGAAATTACACTGGAAATTCAACTTGTTATTCCTTTCTAGTACTTCATTGCTCCTAGATTTTCCATTTCCAACCTCAAGCTTCCTTTTGTTTAATATTCTTCTATGATTTTAAATTGTTTGTTGTTTGTTTGTTTTTCTTCAGCCCTTTCAGGAGCTACACAACTACCACAACTATTCTCACTATTTTAGAGGCTAAATCTGTTCTCTCAAACATTAAGCTTGGTTTTGCTGCTTCCTTTTTTTTTTTTTTTTTTTAATTTCTCAGAAGAGAAATGGAAGTATAACCTTTCTATACAGTGCATAGTTATCTAGAGCAGTGTTCCCGATGCCTCATTCCCTCATTCTTTTAAAGCTTTCTTATTGTAGAATCTACTTTTTAATGTTCATCTTACCTCAGCTTCCATTGTAAGCAAGGAAATTAAAATTATTATCAAATCTTACAAACATTTTCAAATCCTTACTACCCTGGAATTACATCGTCCAGTGAATTCTATTTCATTATATCTTGTTTACACATACATGTATACCCCTATTTAGTGCACATGCAAGAAGTTAAAAAAAGTATGCCTGTGTAGTTTATAATGGCATATATAAAATAATAATGTTCATGAATCAACAATACTATGTATAAATTTTAGTGTATTTTCTGTGTATTGCCAGGAAGTTCTTAATACATCAGAGATCCAAAACACATCAATAGTTAAGTTAAAACTGCACACACTCATGGAGAACATTAATTATATTCTTGGAGCTCATTTATAATGAGCTTTTAATTGGCGAGTATGCCCTCATATCTTAATTCTTAAAAGGAGAGAAATTACGAGATGTTAGGTAATTCTTAAAATAACATGCTTCAGTTTACATATTTTCTTTCTTTTACTATATACCAACAGTAAAGACTGTTTGCCTAAAGTCAGTCTTCCTTTACTTATGGCAGTTGAACCATATGATGATAACAGAGAATTCTATTTCATTTTTAATCAGTAAGGTTGTAGTGGGACGTGCCCTAATGGATGCTGCTTCTAAAATTTAGCAAAAAGGTCAACAGAGGGTACTCCCATGAAAAAGAGATTAATACATTCTATGTCTACCTTTGGGAGACGACTGACCAATTTTCCTTCTATTATTTATCTAATTAGTCATTCTCCAATACTGTAAGAAAATAAAACACAGCATTATGTTTTACAAAATGTCTGAATACATTGCTATGTTAGAGCTTTTGCAGCACTTCACAGCATAGTCCTTCATTAGAAAGACTGTTTGCTTGGACAGCATCCAGTAAAATCTAATCAATATACCCATCTTTGTTTTTTAATTCAGCAGCTCAGCTTTATTTAATTCTCCAATTTCTAATATTGCATAAAAGCACTGCTGTATAACACATTACCATCTAGGCTGCTTCTCTGCTTGTCCAGATACATCACATTTGTCATTGTTAGAATTCAACAAGAACTTGATCTGATTACCTGGTTTGCTTTCATTTGGTTTACACTGAACTTCTTCAACACATTCTGCAGGAAACCATCCAACATGTCCCCGGGTGCTGCCTTCCCAGAATCCACCTTCACCAATGCTTAAAACTAATCACAGAGACACAAAGGAAGCATTAGACTTTTTTCTCTTCTAACATAAATACCAAGATTATTTACATAACACATTCAATAATAATTGACTATCATGTTTGTAAGAGCAAACATTGTACAATAATTCAAATTCCAGTGCCTCAAAAGGGGGCACAGAGTAACCTTAAATTGAGAGTCTTCCTGATCAGTCTTTGCAACCCCTTCCCGAAACCATTTGTGTCAAAAATTTTTGGGGCCCTGACATATTTTTTTTCAATTTTCACTTTTTGCATTCCTGCTTTTATCAGGGATAAATGTATGGCCACATTAATACCAAAATTCTGCTTGCCTGTTCAAATTAACCTGAAGTGCTGAACGTCTTGTAACACTGGACCCACATTGAAATTGGGAATTGGGTTTTTGTTTATATGCATATAAAGAGATGCATATGCATATATATGAGAGAGAGCTCTCATATGTTTCATACTTCCTAAGCAAAGATACCACTTCATTTAGTGGGTAGCTCCAGAGATTTGTAATGTAGGTCAAGTAATATGATTTAATGGTTTGAGTATACAACATATACTTGAATATCCTATAGGTGTGATACACAATATACAGTCTTTTGAAACATTTCTGTGACTTTTCTCAGTAGAAGATAATGACAATAGGGAGCAGAATGATTTGCCAAAGAAAGAAAAAGCTTTTTACTCTAGTACCAGTTACCTTGATAGTAGTCTTAGGACATAACAAACATTGTAACAAAAGACTGCAGAATAAAAATGTATGTTTCTATTCGTCAGCAACTGGAGCTGAAGTTCTTACCAATCATTGTATTTTAGATTGAAAGAGTGTAAATGTTCTATTAAAAAACACTATATATTATTTTGTTAGAATAAATATGATATTATAGACCAATAAAAATACAGGTAGCTCTTCTAAATAGGTTGATTGGGAACAGCTCGGTTGTACAACACAGGTCTACAGAGTACATCTGTGCAAAACACAATGTTCAGTCTAGAGGTCCCTGAGCTACCAAAAATAAGCCTGTGGAAGTTGAAGCGGCACAGCTCCATTAGCAGTGTGCTAGCTAAGCAGCCAAGCTAACTGGCCCTGCTGAAAATCAAGGCTAATTAGCCCAAGCTCATCTCTTTCCTAACATATGCATATGGTTTTCAGGACCTGGAATAATATCTCTGCAGGGTATTGCAGTATGGTAGGGATATTAACTTGCTCAGAGCTATTTTGATGAGCTCCAACATGAGCACTCTTTGCACTGTTAAAACATGCCTTATCAAGCTTTAAAATTGTAGTCCCCAAGCCTGACTGCAATTGAATTCTGTATCAGTGGAACTGCTGCGACTCAATGGCTTTGAATTTGAACTTGATTTGCACTGCTATAGAGTCAGATGAAAAATCAAATTGATGATAGGCAGAAAAAAAAATAAATAAATATATATATATATATATATACACTGATAATACTAAAGTTGTAGTAAGAAGCTTGGTCTAAAAAATCAGGATCTACAAAGCTGCATTTGAAATTAAATATTTATTTAGTTTGTCATTAATGCAATCTTAAGCTATTTGTGCTGTTGCCTAAAGAGCATGAATGTCTATTAGCAGAAATTTGACAGAAAAATATTTTTAAATAGATCAATTTTAAGTTCTTTTCTACTGTACATTCAGATACACAGATTCCATGAACTGCATACTTACAGATCACTTTCAGTGAGAAGTACATAATAAACCCCAGGAAACACCATTAAGGCAAAATCTGGATGGGTTTTATATTTACAATTTATCAAGTACCTCTCAGACTTCATGTATGTGAGGAAACCTATAGCCAACTAGGAAATTAAGAGCTAATGTGGGAGGGCACTGAGCTTGGAAGACAGCAACAACTCCACAGTGACATGGAAACCAAATAAAATATGTTCAGCATTCCTTTTCTTTTAGGTACCTAAGACCTATTGCTAATGTTTACATAAGCAGAAAATTGCATCTCTACATTGAAATGCAAGTCAAAATGAAGAAACAGGATCTGTGCTTTAATTATTTTAATAAAATAAATAATACATAAAGTATTAATAAATATAAATTTTGGGCAAAATTAATGAAAAACATGTTGATAAATTCCAATTGTTCTTGAAAATTGTTAAAGGTTGTGTATAGTACTACCCAAAGTAAATCTGATAACTCAATGTTACATAAAACAGAAGCCTGTTCATATACCCAATACCAACTACTCATCAGCTTTCAACGCATTTTTAACAATGTACCCTTTGTTCACATAAGAATAGAGTGTATTTCTTATATATGAGATTATAAAGTAGGAAGACATAATTAATAATATACATATAGATATTGTAAGTATTGTAACATCCTATTGTACACTGATTTAACTTCAAATAATACATGATTAACTTCAAATAATAAAGGATTCCAACCAGCCGAAAGAAACTGCAAAATGTGAGACAGCAAAAGACACGTGGTGAGGAGAGTTTTCATTTCTAAATCTCAGTCCTGATTTCACTCCACAAACCAGCAAGATAGGAAGAACAAAAACTACTTAGCAATTAAGAAAGACTTCCCTAATTCAGTATTTTATTAATCTGTCAATCTGCTATTTTGATTTTCCAAATTACATTAATGTTTCAATCTCCAAAAAGCATTTGTACTGTGAGAAAGAAGTTGGGTACATCACACCCATAAAGTAATTTCATAAGTTTATGATAGCAGCTGATAAAACACTGAAGTCAAGATGGGAGAAGGAATGTGCTTTCTAAGTCTATATGTGAGTGTAAGGCAAAAAGTGGATGTGCAAAGCAAAAACACTCCTGCTTTAGATCATTATTGCATGAACTATTAAATATTAGCAATTGCTAACAGCAAGAGCAAAGCAGTAATACCCTTAGACATGCCTGAAGACATAACATCTATGGAAAAGAGGACGAAGAGAAAATGAGGTATTGCCAGAATGCAGCCAGCCTTCAACATTCTGGTTCAAGATGAGAGATTACATCTACAAAGAAAATAACTGGCCCTTTGGACTTCTTATTAAGGAAGAACAGCTTTATGGGTTCCAAGCAAGGAGGCCAAAACCTGATGGAACTGCACAAGGCACACAGATGACACAAGGGGTAAATATGGGGAAAAACTAGCAATATGGTTGATGTACAGAATACAAGATGAATTTTTGGTGAGATAAAGGAAAAACACATACTTAACCTAATACTCAAAATACAAAATTTGAAATAAAGATGTAGGTTCTGTCCTACCAAAAAAATTAATAATAATAATAATTGACATTTGAAATAATCTTTTAAAATAAATCTCAGGTTTCCTTAATAAGAAAATTCTTCAGCATTAATAAGAAATTCTTCAGGAGGAGCAAAAACCATAATAATCTACATAAAAACTGGCAATACTTCATGCATTCCAGTGTAGGTAATGGGGAACTTAAAGTATAAATAAAAAATATCTATATATCTTTTGCACCCATGAAAGCTTTTTCAGAATGTGGCCTTAATTTCTTTACTTTCTCTCTCAAAATAGTTCATAAGAGATATGCTGTAATAGATAATTTGGTATCAGCAAGAGACTTTCTAATCAACGTTTCCTCTCTGAAGGACATAACAATGGTAAATAAAAGGGTAACTTTCACAAAATTAATAATTAGGCTTTACCATTTCAAGTTTATTTTTTTTTACTTTTCTTTCAGTAAAAACAAAAGATGTGGTTGCTATGGCAAGAGAAGGCCACAGTCTCTTTACACGCCATATGAATTACAAAAAAGAATCTGATGTTACAAGAGTAAAATTAATGCTCTAATAACATTGTGAATTCTGTTATGTCTTTTCATAACAAAACTATAGTTTAAAAAGAAGAATTATGTTTAATTAATTGAACTAAAGTTCAAATCAAAATCCGATAAATACCAAAAAGTTTAATAACTTGAAAATATGCATAAGCAGATGTCTATCAGGATCTTATACTTTAATGTCATTGAAGTATTATACCCCAAAAAAGTATTATACCAGTCAGATTCTGCTTTGCCAAAGTCCAAAAAATAACAAGGAAATTATATATAATGCCAGTCTAGTACAAGGTGTTTTATCTCTTCTCTAAGTTTACGGATGGCATATATATTATAACTAATTTTAATATAACATCCTTATCTCAAACAGCTTAACTACATGATATATTATCCAAAATTCATGTTAATCCAAACAGCACCAACAAAAAAGCTGTTTTCTTCCACATTACAGCTCTTTTTATTATGCAATAATCATGAAATTGGGTGTAAGAATATTTTTCCATCAATTTTTGGTGCAAACAATTTTCAAATATTTTGTAATATTGAAATTTCAATGAATTAATTATTCTAGATATCCTTATTTGCTAAAATTTTAATGGAAATTACAACGAAATACAAGCCATTTTCTATAGCTGTTACAGGGTATATCTGAAACTGGTTCACAATATCTACAATCAATTTTTGGTGCTTGTATAAACTGCACTCTTTTTTCCTGGGAAAAGAAATGATGATACAGATTGGGAATGATAGATCATCTTCTTGAAAAAAAAATCTACAACTAAGAGAAAAAAATAAATGAACACAATGGCAATAATGTAAAGTTCAAAACATACTGAAAAATCTGAACTAGCCTATGCTGATGTAAGAGCCATCAGAGCTAAAAGGAAGTATATTTGCAAATCATGAGCAGCTGAATATCTCAATACTTTTAGTGAGAGGTGGAATTATGTAAACTGAAAGCCTTCTGTAACTCACAGTAGAAAGCAGAAAAATTCAGAATTTCTTTCTTAATCTGAAAAGGATGGTAATAGTGTCCCTTCCATTCAAAGTGCAGTATGAACATGTTATGTACCTTGATTCCATTGTTCAGTTATTGCTAAAAAGTGTCATTTACCTAATGAAATATAAAGATCTGTCATTTGAATTGTAGATAGGAAGGCTCAGTGCAAACCTGAGCTATGGTTGTGTTTCTTGATAT